TATTATAATATTCTGAATTTTTAAAAAACAATTCATGAGTCCAAAGCAACATCATTTTTTTAAAAGAGAATGAGACAGGAAGAAGGGAAAGCTCTTCTCTGCAGAAAAATGCTACCTTTAAATGTAGGGTGACACAATTAGAAAATCTCCCATTTTCAGGGCTGGCCCGTGGCTCACTTGGGAGAGTGTGGTGTTGACAACACCAAGTCAAGGGTTAAGATCCCCTTACTGGGGCCGGCCCGGTGGCGCACTGCGCTAGTGCGCCGCTTGGGAAGTGCGGTGGCGTTCCCGCCGAGGGTTCGGATCCCACATACAGACNGCCGGTCCCGGTCCGGTGCGGGCGCGACACTGAGGGTTGCGATCCGTTGCCGGACACGAAATAAGACAAAAAGGGGAAAAAAAAAAAAGATAAAGCACTCTCTAAACTAAAGGAAAGTAAAGACACATGGCAACAAAAAGCAATGTGTAAACCTTGACTGGCTCCTGACTGAAGGGGGACATCTATAAAGGACACACTGGAAGGGCTGGCCAGTTAGCTCAGTTGGTTAGAGCATGGTTTTGTAACACCAAGGTCAAGGGTTCAGATCCACGTACCAGCCAGCTGCCAAAAATAAATAAATAAATAAACCTCTTAGTATAAAGGACACCACTGGGATAATGGGAGAAACCTGAATATGGACTCTAAACTAGACATTATTGTGTCAATATTACATTTCTTGGGTCTGATAATGGTATTGAGGTTATGTAAGAAATGTCCCCATTCTTGGAAAATACGTACTTAGGGGTAGAGTGTCATGTCTGAAACTTGTTTCAAACCGTTCAGAAAAAAAGAAATGACGGATGGATAGATACAGACAGAATCAAAGCAAATGTGACAAATGTTACAACTGGTGAATCTGGGTGAGGGTATATGGGCGCTCCTGTACCATTCTTTCAACTTTAGTTTGGTGTGAAAGTTTTCAAAATAAGAAATTGGAGGGCCGGCCCGGTGGCGCACTGCTACAATGTGCCACTTGGGAGTGCGGCGGCGCTCCCGCCAAGGGTTCGGATCCCACATACAGACCGGNAAAAAAAAAAAAAAAAAAAAAAAAAAAAAAAAAGATCCCCTTACTGGTCATCTTTTGAAGGAAAAAAGAAAAAAGAAACTCTCCCAATTTTGCAGTCACTCCTATAATAGCTGATGTAGGCAACGATCGTCAATGGCTGCTACAACCACTGCATAAGAGATTGTTGGGGGAAAGGAGAGTCAGAGTTGTAAAGGACCAGCCCAAAGATGATTTACTAATTACAAAGGGAGAAAGGCACTTTCACTGTGGAGAAAGCTAGAAGATGCCACCTTAACCAAATGGTCAAAGTTAGCTTCACCAATAATGTCAATAATGCCAACTGGGGTCTAGCCAGATAGCTCATTTGGTAGAGCATGGTGCTGGTAACCAAGGTCAAGGGTACAGATCCCCATTCTGGCCAGCTGCCAGAATGAAAAAAAAAAGTGCCAC